GGGGAGCAGGGAGGTGGGAAAGCAAACCTACAGCTGGTTGGACTTCACATCGAGGCGGCCTCTTGCGGGACCCAAATGCTCGAACCTACTTGGGAGGAAAAAGCAAAGAAAAACTAACAATATGTCATTTGGTGCCTGCAAAAAGGAATGATGATTTCTCAAGAGGGTTTAAAGGCTCCTGCGTGGGGCTGGCTGCCAGCTGAAAGGGGAGAGGAACAGGAGAAATGAGAGCAGTAAGAAGGACCTGGCATCTCTGTTCTTAATTTATCATCATAGTAAGACTCGAGCGCGGAGTACAGCTCGGCACGCGCTCCTAAATGGATTTCCTCCGCAGCCGGGGGTGTTGCCGGCAGCGAGGGCTGTTGGACGACAAAGTGCTCCCCAGAGAGGAGCCGGTCTGACCTCGCGTGCTCAGGGAGACCTCGTCGATTTTGTAGGAAATGGAGTTGTAGTACACGGGGTTGGTGTGGCAGCTCAGGGTCACACCGGGCTGCCGCACAGCTGAGGTCTGTAGCACAGGCACGTGCAGAAGGAGGGGACCGCGGCTGCTGAGTTGGCCGACTGGCGCCGCTGCCTCTCCGCGTCCTCCTGGATCAGCGGGATGAGGTTCATCTGGCTCGTCCTGTCCTCTACGGGGAGAAAAATGGCATTGCTGCTCCGGCTGTCCTCCTTCGGCTTGAGGTGGATGTTGTTCCGGGCTCTCCTGAGCGAGGCTCGCTCCTCAGCATCCCGCCGCTCGTCCTCCGAGTTCATGGTCAGGAACCGCAGCACCACCAGGTTGAGGAAGGCGCCGATGACAGTCAGGCCCACCAGGATGTACATGAAGCTGAAAGCCACGTACGGGGGCTTCTTCTGCAAAGCCTCGTTCTTCTGCAGAGCCACAAAGTCTCCGAAGCCAATAGTGGTCAAGGTTATGAAGCAGTAGTAATAGGCATGGAAGAAAGTCCAGCCTTCGAAATAAGAGAAGGCCGCCGCGCCAATGCACAGGGTCCCCATGCAGGACAGAAAGCCGACTAGGACCATGTTCTCCATGGAGACGTTGGTTGTCCTCATGCCCAGACACTTCTTGATCTTCTTGAGCAGCAGCCGCACGACGGTGTTCATGCGCTCTCCCAGGCTCTGGAACATGACCAGCGTCAGGGGGATGCCCAGGATGGCATAGAACATGCAGAAAACCTTGCCAGCGTCTGTGCCCGGAGCGGCGTGCCCATAGCCTGCCAAGGAAAGGGGAAAGGCAGGCGTCAAGCCTTCACTGGGGTTTCCAGCAAGGCTGCCCTGGGAGCAAGAGCAGCCGGAGAATGAGGGGGAAATGGAAAATGAACCAGTAACAGATCTGCAGGCAATGCTAATGGGGCCATTGGATGCCACATCCTTTGGGATGACAGCACATCACAGGGTCATGTGGGCACAACCTCGAAAGAGGGAAGGTACCCTCCTTACAGCCCGTGAGGTCACAGAGGCCAAGAGGAGCCTAGAGCTGGACTGGGGGGGCTGCACACTTTCTGCAGCTGTCGAGCAGCAGAGGGGTGACAATGCCGTCCCAGCACCGCATCTGCAGGGAACCTGAATCCCCGCAGCGAGGGAGGATGGAGGCTCCGCAGGGTGCCGAGACCAACGGCGCCAGGTCACCCTCCGACAGGCACACGCTCAGCCAGTCCCATCCACAGCTGCCCTTGCAGGGCCATCGCTACCTCCCCCCTGGCTCCTGCCCCTCCTGTCCCCCGAGCCCTCCAGTGTCACGTCAATCTTTGACCCTCGGCTATAGGACCATTTGCTGCCTGGCCTGCCATAGGGCCCCCGCGCTATCGGGTCAGTCCCCGCAGGAGCAGCTGCGTATGGGAGGGCTTCTACAGAGCTACTTCAGGTTTACTCCAGTCTCACTCAGACCTTAAGCACCACTGGATGGCTGGAGAGGAGGGGCTGTGCTGCTTTAAATGCAGGGAAGTATTTATGCCACCACAGCCCTGACAGCCCTCATCCCAGGGACAGGGAGCTCAGGGAGGACAAGGTTGTCCTTGAACGCCTTCTGAGATTTAATTTCCCCACTTTGCTCCAAGTTTGGGAGCTGTGAGTCAAGGACACACACAATTACAGCGTGAGTCGTAATGAGGTGTTCACCGCAACCCTCCAGACCTCGGTGACTCTGCGCCCGCCTCACTGAATGATAGAAGCGGCCTCTGACCCCAGCGGATGAGTAACTGAGGCAGTGCCGGGGCACAGCGTGGGGAGTAACGGCATCCACAGGCATCCCAGCCTCTTCCAAGTTTCTGTGAGGAACTACCAGGGCTGGAAACCTCCTTTCTGAAGGCGCCCGTGAACAGCGCCGGCTCCTTCCTGCGCTGCTGCGGGGCCTTTTATCACTTTGTCCAGGTAACCACGTGACTTTTGCATTAAGATATTGGGAGGGTGGGGGAAGCCCCTTTTTTATTTCTCGGTCTTGTTCAAAGCTGTGAGTTGGCTTCACCTCTGTCTCTGCTGCCAGTGGATTTCCAGGACTCTTGGGGAAGCTGTTAGCAGGCAGGGATGGGAAGAGCAGAGGATGATAACCACATTGTCCCAAGCTTCCAAACACACCTGCTCCAGGAAACTCCTGCCATGGGACAGGGCTGGGAAGCCGAGGACAGCGTTTATCCTTGACCATGCCGTGCTCCAAACCTCAAGCAGGCAGGAAGGGACAGGTTTCTAATTGCTCTGTCTGTTCATAAACCCACGCAACCAGAAATGATAAACTTAATGCCTGCATGCCACATTTCACAGAATACAGAGCAGACATGAGACTGCAGTGGCAAAAATACCCCACTCAGCTCCAAGCTTAATAACTGGGTGCAATTAGCAGGTCCTAGGCTACAAGGTGATACAGTGACAGCGACGAGGAGGTAAATATAATGATCCAGAAGTGCAGTAAGTGGAAAAACAGTTGTTGTGCCCCGCGAGACTGCTGAAAGAGCATTTGACTGAGGCTTTCAAAATGACAAAGGGAATTAGAAAGAGTAAAAGCAGCCACATTAACGCTAAAACTGAGATTTGGAGCACGGCCCAATATGAAGAGAGCTGAAGTGCCAGCGTTTTAGAAATATGGCACCTGAGCTGAAATTATTTATTGCACGGGGTGTGTGATAAGTGTAGCAATGGTCTGTCACAGTCAACAGAAAAATAATGCAAATGGAGCTATAACCTGTCACGAGATGATGGAGATTTTCACTGAAGCCATTCATCCGACCTTCCTGCTGGGGCCTGACATGACCCGTGCCCTGAGCCCACAGCTGTTTGCTGGCCACGTGCGTGTCCAACTGCAGGAATCCCACACCACATCCCGCAGCGGCACAGGGAGCCCCCCAGGGCAGGGCCTGCGGGGTACCTGACCCTCCACCTCCTCTTCTCCCCTGGTAACACAGCACAGTTGGTCCCACCAGCCCTTGTCCTGCGGGATGATGCTTCCAGCTACCTGATGTATTTCACCCATCCCAAGCCCCGCGGTAGGACCCAGCCCCGTCCTACAGCCGAGGCTGCTGGCTGTGGAAGGGCAGGATTTGGCCTCAGGGTTCCTGCCTCAAAACACACCTGCTGACTGAAATCCCAGCAGGAGCAATGACAGGAGCACAGGATCCCATGCCTGGCTACCCCCACAGGATGCTCAGAGGGCATGGATTAATGAAAGTCGATTAATTAAACAATGCTCAGCTCCCATGTGGCTAATCTCACCTAGAATTAAGGCAATTCTCGCTCCATTTAATTTCATTCTCTTGCAAAATTGGAGAGGCAAAACCAAGGCATTGGGCTCCAGCATGGGTAAGTGTGTCTACACGGGGGTTTAGTGCGATTCCAACCGGTCTCCCCGCAGGTTCCCAGCCGGCGGAGCGAGGCTCAGTGGCTGGCGGCTGTCCTGGCTCCCTGCAGCGGGTCTCACACA